AGGAACTTATCTTTTCACCGTCATCACTAAAAACCATTTATTTATTAGGGCAAGTGGTTCTGGATTTGAGTTTTCTAAGCTCGTGGTTATCCCATCGACTCCCGGCGACGGCCTCGTTAAACGGGTCGATGATCCTGATAGTCTCACAGGAATATATATATATATATATATATATATATATATATATATATATATATATATATTTAATGCCAGGCTTTACCATCTCAAAAATACGGGCACTTGATGGGTATCAAAAGATGTTCATTAGTCGCGACTGCGTGCACGCCTATGATGGCAGTGTTCCCAAGCCCGCCAGCACTGAAATCATCCGGCACCATGCTTATCTGTCGGTTTATCGAGTACGCCCACCGGCCCTTCCCTTCCCTCCCCTCCCCCCAGGGATGGGTCAGCGCAGCCCGGTATCGCTGCTTACCCCGATTCTAATGGAGCCAGTTATGCATGCAAATAGAGAAGGGGGAATGGAGTAGGATTAGCCAGTTCCCGAATACATGACCCCGGAGAGGCCAGCTGTCTGATGGACTGATAGCCTCTCGCGTATTGAGGGATGCGGTCAGTGAAAAGATATGAATCCAGCGGAGGATCCGGATATCATTAGTGCTACCAAAGCTGTGTTAAAGCAGCCAACCGATCCCTGTTGCTTTGTCCATTGTTCAATGCAATAAGATAAAGATTCTGCTTTTCGAAATGGGCTGAAGTAAGAAAGAAGCTAAATCCCACCTGACGCCGTGTAAAAAATATGTCCTGCTATCTCCCCGCGTTCCACTCTGACCTGTACAGATTTAACGAAGAGACTTCACTGAATGATGGGATTAGCTCTTTGCATTAGCTCATGCGTGTGGTGTACAGTTTCGCCTAATGCTCTCCGGTTTGAGTAATCTTTTTAACTCTGGGCCGATACATATTACTTATCCACGCGCAAACGGTTTTCCGGGCAAACGATGCGAATGGACTTTACACAAAATGATTCAAGTCGACGGGATTGCTGTGGATTTGCAACCAGAGCTTAGCGCATAGTAATAAAGAGCACTTGTGATAGAAAGGTGTATTTCTGGAAAGCTTAGACGTTGATATCGCTGGTAGTTTTAGATGGCGGCTCCTTATTACGGTAAGACTGAGTGAGCTCGGTAATTGTATTGACGTGGGCCTTTTCTCTGATTTCATTTGCCAAATACGGTGGGTGAAATGCCTCAGAATTTCTCGCCATTTACTGTCACACGGCAGCATTTCGTAAAAAAGTATACCAACCTTGGGCCGGAATGCTATCGCTATTACTGATACTGCTACTATCACTGTGGAAATTTCTGTCCTCGACCTTGGCCTAGAGCGGAGCAGGAGGAACAATCCGCTAAAGAAATCACCCGCTAGAAAATGCGCTGAAAGAGCTTTTAACTTGACGACCACTTAACAAGCCCTGTACCGGACGAGCGCTCCTCGAACGAATCCTGCACCGGAGTCCTCCAGGACCAGCTGTTCTCTGGACTAGCCGTTCTCTGGACGGGCTTTCCTCCGGACGAGCCGTTCTCTGGACGAACCGTTCTCTGGACTAGCCCTGCTCTGGACGAGCCGTTCTCTAGACGAGCTGTTCTCTGGACAAGCCGGTCTCTGAACGAGCTCTCCGAGCTGTTCTCGGAACGAACCGCTCCCTGGACGAGCCGTTCTCTAGACGAGCCCGCTTCAGCTCTGGTGAAATATTTTGCTCAGCGAGTGTTCCGCTGGACAAACCTTCCACGGGAGGAATTATCCACTAGACAATACTCTTAGTGGACAAACCGTCCACCGGATAAGCCTCTTTCTGAATAAAAGGTGCCCTAGACAAACCCCCTCCTGAGCAAACCCCCCGCTGAGCAAAACTTTTCCCTTGGCAAACCCTCCCCTGAGCATACTCCGCCCTGAGCAAACCCTGCCCTAATCAAACCTTGCCCTGAGCAAACCTTCCCTGAATAAACCCCCTCTGAGCAAACCTCCTGATCAAATCCTTCCCTGAGCAAAGCCTCCCCTGAATAAACCCTCTCTGAGCAAACCCTCCCCTGAGCCTCCCCTCCTCTGGCCCAGCCCTCCCCTGAGCCTCCCTTCCCCTGGTCAAGCCATCCGCCAGCCGAGTTCCTCTCCGGACGCACACTCGCTGAACGTGTCGACGCCGGCCAGGTGATGTTCGTGGCGCCCGGTCCCACTCATTACCAGCGACATCGATCCTCCACCGGGGAAGGGCAGGGGTCGGCCGGCCTCGGCACCATTAGTGGTATCGACCCCTCCGCGTCCGTGTCGGACTGGCCACCAAAACGGCGTGCCGGTGTCGGGGGGCGGGGGGCGGGGGAGGGTCGCCAGGCGCCAGCAGACGGACGGACGGAACAAAACGTCGCCGCAGGGAAACTTGGTGGTGGTGGAGGGGCGGGTTATGGACGGTGCGGGAGAGCCACCAGGTTAGCATGTGGCCCTTGCCCGATCTGTATTCGTGCGGTGTTGTGTGGAAGGCCGTATGGTGGGGCCGGTGCCCGCTCAGACTCGTGAGATGGGCTTGCTGCTGTTGTGGTGGTACGGCTGATGAAGTGGGAGCTGACTGTAGGCAGTCAGATTGTTTGCAGACGCACAGCTGCTTCCGCCACCAGCATGTAAACACAGCGTTCTGTCTCTGTGGCAGCGCAAGGCTGCAATTAATGCAATGCTGGAGGCTCAAACCCGTCCTGCATTACTTCTTAGTCCGAAACCCGATGCGCTGGAGATTACCTACTTGCGTCTTGAAATAGACGGTCAAGGGAAATTAGGAAAGGATTGTATGCAGCCCCGGATGCGGGGCGTCCTAGTCAACTACAACAGACTGCTCCAAGGTCGTTGGATGGTCCCAAGCGATGGCCAGGACGAACTAATTTTGAACTCACTTCCCATGCATCACGACAGTGTAAATTTCAAACTACCGCAAAAGGAGGGGTTCCCTGGGGTGGACTCGCGGTCACTGACTGAGGAACGTTGGTATGTGGATTGGAGCTCACTACTGTACAGTACTACTGTACAGTACTACTGTACTACTGTCAACGGTACAGTACTACTGTACAGTACCGTTGACAGGCAATGGAGGGGCAAATAGATAGGAAATAAAACGGCAGCGCTGCTCCTTGTGCGCGCTGGCTGCTGTGGTTAAGTTCCTGACGTTAACATCTTACGCCAAAATCTCACCCGTTTATTTTATCTCCTCCAGAGAGTTCTGACCACTTACGCGGGAACCGGTGCTGGGGCACGTCCTATGTCTGACACCGGAGGGCGCCCCACTTAGTTATCGTCGGAGCGGCATCAGATGTCGTTTGTTGTTCAGCGTTTGGGAAGGCTTTTTCAGAAGAAGTCGGAAAAGGCTGCGGTGAAGCGGAAATTTTCGTCAGCTTAAACATGATTTGAAGTGTATTTCAGAGGGGGAGGTGCATGGTGCTTTGGCGCTTGATGTCCTGATGGGCAGTGGGGAGGGCCATCACAGCAAATTCTATTATTTTCCGGTCATTTTGTGCGTTTGGTATCCATTCTGCAGTCGTGAGATGGGTGGAGGCAGTGTCTTAAGCTGGAAATAAAATCCCAAAGGGTTCCCATTCGTTCAAGAAACAAACTTTGAAATCAACGACTTAGAGACATTTATTTTCAATATCTCATGTATTCTCAGCTCACAGAAATATTTTATGTAATGTTCTCAAGAGTATGGACGCGTCGCAATAAGGTTGAACGTTACGCCTGCAGTACATCAAACATGGCTCAATATTATATTATGTAAACACAGTCTTAGCCAATCAAGGGATCAAATAGCCGCTGACTAAAGCAATTATCGTAATGAATTAGCTCCCATTTGCCAATGTTCCGCTCGCATAGTCACTTTCAGCTATTCCTTCCCATCAAACACTCGTGCCCTCCCGTTGACCAGCGATATTTGCCCAGTTATTTCCGCCATCGGTGCGACAACAACGCCACTCGAGCCGTCACAGATCTACCCGGAACGCTTCATCCCCGCGGAAGTGCCCGCCGCCAAATCGCCCGTGCAGAAGAAGCAGAATTCCGGCTGGCCCGTTGTTCTGCTGCGCGACGACAGATCGCGGCGCCGCTGCGACAAATCGTGGCGCGGGGTGCGGTGACAAATGGGCGGGCCGCCCTCCCGCGGCGCGTGGTCCGATTATGGACGGTGATAACCGCAGCTGGGGTGCGGCGAACCGCGCTGATAGCCCGCTCCGGGGGTGTCACCGGCTCCCGGATAAATCGACTGCTAAATGAGCGGAGAGAGCGCTGGCAATGAGGCGGTGAACCGCGCATATGTTCTGGTCCTTACCGAAACCGCCGCACGGTGGATAACATCGATGACAATGGAGATGATGTAAACCGAAGCGTACTTACGTCAGACTGCGATAAAAAACATGACAGTCTTTTACAACGTGTACCGCGCGAACGGGGCCCTCGCGGCGAACAGATAAAGCATGCTGCTATGCCATATTAGTAGGCGAGCAGTGTTATCCATATAAAAATGGAAACAGGCGCATATGAAAATAGGCAGATGTAGAAGAGAGACAAAAGGCGAAGAGAGATTCGCGTTGACTCAGTCACAGATATCATTCACGCTTACATTATACAGACACAGGACATGCCTGATTGGAATTGTATGTACCGTTGCCTACGCCATTTTTCCCACAATGTAATGACATGGAATTTAGATGAACCCCTTCACACTCTTGGCTAGCCAAGGCACGGTCGTTTTTCTCTTACAGAAGGCTTATTAGGCGTCCCTTGCTTTGTAACGCACCACGGTACGAATGTCTTGGCCTCTGTGGCTTGCAGAAGCTCATCGGTGCAACTCTCTGCAAAGTTGATGTCGCATTCTTGCCAAGACCGCGGCCAAATGGTGATCTTGCCCGCCTCGCTCCCCTGGTTGCCGCGGTGATCTGATGGTGTGTCAAGTGACCCCCGTCGGTGACCTCGCGCAAGCCGCCAATGCTCTTCTCTCTGTCGCCAGGTTCCCGGGGGTCACTTGACACACGCTCAGAGCTCCAGTGACCCTGTGACCCGGCCCGCGGCCATGCGGCCGGCCTCCGGCTGACCACGGCTGACCTCGGCTGACCCGGCTGACTCGGCTGACCTCCGGCTGCGACCCGCCGCCGCCGCCGACATGCCCCCGTCGCCGGCCCGCCTCGCCTTCTGCTAGCCCCCGCGGGAGCGTCCTCCACCAGGTCAAGCACGCCCGAAGCACAGCTGAAGTTGCGCGGCGTATTGATTTAAGGCAACATCCCAGGAGCGGAGCGCCGAGTACCCTTGAGCGCCGGCCGGCTGAAGAGTGTGGGACTCTCGAGGCGCGCGCCCGCATACCACGTGATCTATCTCGCCCGAGGCGGCGCGCCATCGCCGCATCGTGCCACGCGTGCGTGTGTCCGGGCGCGGCGGGAGTGTGTGACGACACCCCTCCCCCTCCCCTCCCCACGCCTCCGCCACCATGCCTCGCATCCCGGTGGTGGGGATCGACGCGGCGGAGATCGTCCACTGGTGCAACGCCAAGCTGGACCAGATCGACGCGCGCCTTCAGGACGGCCACGCGCAGCGGCGTCTGGTGCTGGTCATCGTGAGCATCGCGCTCCTGCTGGACAACATGCTGTACATGGTGATCGTACCGATCATTCCCGACTACCTCCGGCGGATCGGCATGTGGGACACGCACATCGAGGGCGGCCAGAAGATCTACGCCAACGAATGGCGCGTCAACAGCACGGGCAACTACTCGGTGCCGGGCAACAAGACGGTGTCAAAGGTTATCAACGGCGTGACCGTGTACGAGAACGAGGACGCCGCGATCGGATTCCTCTTCGCTTCGAAGGCGATCATCCAGCTGATGGTGAACCCATTCTCCGGCGCGCTGATCGACCGCATCGGCTACGACGTACCCATGACCATCGGCCTCCTCATCATGTTCTTCAGCACGGCCGTTTTCGCGTGCGGCAAGAGCTACGGCGTGCTCTTCTTTGCGCGGAGCTTGCAGGGCGTTGGCTCGGCCTTCGCCGACACGTCAGGCCTGGCGATGATCGCCGACCGCTACACGGAGGACGCCGAGCGGTCGCGCGCGCTGGGCATCGCGCTGGCCTTCATCAGCTTCGGCTGCCTGGTGGCGCCACCCTTCGGAGGCCTGCTCTACGAGTTCTGCGGTAAGGAGCTGCCGTTCCTGCTGCTGGCTCTGGTGTCGTTCACCGACGCGATCATGCTGCGGCTGGTGATGCGGCCGATCAAGAAGCAGCAGGTGGCGGCCGGCTACACGATGCCAAAGGGCACGCCCATCTGGAGGCTCTTCGCTGATCCGTACATCGCGCTGTGTGCCGGCGCGCTGATGATGTCGAACGTGTCGCTCGCCTTCCTCGAGCCGACGATCAGCGTGTGGATGATGGACCACATGCGGGACGTGCAGGAGTGGCAGCTGGGCATGATCTGGCTGCCGGCCTTCTTCCCGCACGTGGCCGGCGTGGTGCTGACGGTGAAGATGGCGCGGGTGTACCCGCAGTACCAGTGGGCGCTGGCCGCCGGCGGCCTCGCGCTCGAGGGCGTCAGCTGCCTCTTCATCCCCTTCGCCACCAATTACTGGGTCATGATGCTGCCCATCAGCACCGTCTGCTTCGGGATAGCGCTGATCGACACCGCGCTGCTGCCGATGCTCGGCCTGCTCGTGGACACGCGCCACGTGTCGGTGTACGGCAGCATCTACGCCATCGCCGACATCAGCTACAGCATGGCGTACGCCTTCGGCCCGATCATCGCCGGCGGTCTCGTCCAGTCGGTGGGCTTCACCGGCCTCAACATCGGCATCGCCGTCTCGAACGTGCTGTACGCGCCGCTGCTGTACATCCTCTGCTACTGGTCGCGCCAACAGCAGGGCGAGGGCGAACAGATCACCATGACCGACCATCCGAAGGAGTACCAGACATACGCCGTGCTGGAGGACGACCCCGCCGGCCAGGGCGCGCCGCACGACAGCGAGAAGCGCCCGCTGCAGGAGACCAGCATCGACAGCCACTACCAGAGCGTCGCCTACGACCAGAACGGGGGCTACGCCGGCCAGCCGTACCAGCAGGCGCAGCCGTACCAGCAGCAGCAGCCGCCGTACCAGCAGCCAGCGCCCGCCAACGGCTACGCGCCGCGGCCGCCCGCTCGGCCGCCGGCGCCGCGTCAGGACTCGGTCAGCAACGCCAATGCCAATCCGTTCCGGCCGGCGGCGTCCAATCCGTTCCGGTCCGGCGACGCGAATCCGTTCCGCGGCGGCGCGCCACCCACCTAGTGTGGCCGCGCCACGGGGGACGTGTGTTTATAGTGCGCGCCTGTGGGCGGGGGTGCGTGCGCGGTGACGTGGCTGCGAGCGCGACGGAACGTAGTGTGAGTCTCCGACTCGCCTGTCGCCGGGCGCAGCCGTCGGCGAATGATGTCCCCGCGCGTCGGAGCGGGCTCCAGCGGACGTCGGCGGGTACGTCGCCGGGTTTCCCGCCAAATGCCACGGACGCGGCGCGCCAAAACGCGCCGCGCATCGTCAAAAGCCAGGGGCGGCCCACACGGGCTCACTTCAGCACCCGCCTCGCGGCCTCCTCCTCCGCCGAGCAAACAATCTGGGCGCCTCTCGGCCGGCTGCCGGGAGGCGGGTTCAGGCAAGCTGCGTAATTGGGTGTTTGCCGGGCTAACGAGCCCCGCATAATTGGACTCCCCTTTATTGGAGGTACACGCGGGGAGGCGGCACGCGCCAGTACGATAATGAGCGTAACGAGTGGCAACCGCGCACTGCCAAGAGCGTCACCAGCGACGCTTATAAAAGGAGTCGGCGAGCCAGTGGCTTCAGAGCAGGTGGAGTCAACGGATAGCTAAAAGCCAGCCTAAAATTTATAAAACTTCGCGGAATATTTCGTCGAAGTCCTGGTCCCAAGCAAACAAATGGAGAAAAACGCCGTTTAATGGTAATGTGAAAAGACGACTTAACTCGCGCAAAAGGGCGCTTCTTTAATCCAAAAAGCGCCTCAAACTACGCCATGCTCCCCAACATGAACTCTCGCAAGTTTCTGTTCTTACCAAGAACCATATGAAACCCTTTTTATCGCGGGTGATTATTTCACGCTTACCACAGAAATCCAACGGCGAAAGAGTGCCACGAGTTCTAAAATGCGGCAGGCAGTGGTCACAGTGTCCCCCCCCCCCTTCCACCCTTCCCCGCTTCGTTCCCCCAGCCGCGGTCCTCCCCGTGGCCCGTACGCCCTAATAGGAATATCCAGTCGTCATAATTAGGTGCGGCTGTATACTCTCGCTAGCGGTACGTAACACCCTCGGGGCATTAGCCCGTGACGTCACGTCCTGGTGGGGATGTCGGGAAGCATCTACGCTCACACCAATGGATCAAAGTCGCGCAGCTCTGGATCGGTTTGGTGTCTGCTTTGCCCCTGAAGCTGTTGGCACACTCGCTGGCAGTTTACAATTGGCAGTTCACGGTGCCACATCGGTATCGCCGAAGCAACCCTGATAATAATGTGTTTCCGGCGAAAAACATATACTGTTACCTAATATAGGACCTTTTATTTTTGCAGGTAATTTCATTTCATTTACTGTGAATGATTTTTAACTACAGGCCCGCTTAAGACGTCTCCTAATGGCACTCAACTGATGGTCCGTACATATATACACAATGGATACGAAAATATGAAACTGCGTTAATCATTAGATGATTTGGTATGTCCTTAAATTCTCAGCATATATGAATATGTATGCATGGACATGAACATATTGACATTCATATGCATATATATATATATATATATATATATATATATATATATATATATATATATGGTGCAACTACTGAATATCGTAGATTATTTATAGTAAAAGCGGATTTTAACATGCTTTCGTATATCATCTGACCTTCAAAAGATTACGCGCCACGCTGTCTGCCACATCTGGCCTTTCTCCACCCTGGCGCGCGGTTTTTTGGAGCCATATCCTCGGCAGCGCCGTTTGGCCCGCCGCGCCCGCAAACAAAGCCGCATCGATCACGGGCTGCGGCCGCCGCTGCCAAGCAGCGTCCTATTCCCCAGGTGCCGGCCTGCACTCAGCCTGCCGCTCCCTATCAGAGAGGCAGTCGTGGCGCGGCGGTGGTCGTGGCGCGCGCGTGGCGCCAGTGGTGGCACGCCGGAGGTCAGATGCCTTGAAAGCGGGGGAGGGGGAGTTGTTCCGAGAGGATGGGAATTTGGGGGGAATAACTTTGAGGGCTTGATTTTTAAGGCGGGGTTTCCACCTCCGCGCTTGGATTTTTGGAAGGAATTTTCCAATCATTATCATCGGTGCCCCTGATGTCCGCCATTCTCCTTTCGTCGGCCTAGCCAGAGCCACTATCAGTTGACCTTCTTGGCAACTTTCGACGGTCTCAGCTGGTTTCATTCAACAACTAAAGCCAGATTCAGTCGTTTCCGGCCACCCGCAGAGAGCGTCAGCTTCACGGCACACGGGGATCACGAATGCACTGCGACGATTCAACGAGCAATAAGCGAGCGGTTGAAGCGGTGTGTGACAGAGACAGTGACGTCAGAGCTGCGTCACTGGTAGCCGCGGCTGTTGTGCTGTGTGCAGAGACGTTGCGTGTGTTCAGTGATAGACCGTGACTGTTGGATGATTGATCGTGACATTGTGTGGAACACCAGCGCTAGCGCTCGTTATGTGCGTTGGCAGATGTTGCATACACGAGAGTGAGAATGGAGGTGAAAACGAGAAGTCTGCTCTGAGGTTTTCCTCACGTTGGTTGGGATTGAAAGACTTAGAAACTTCAGAGTTTGCTAGGATGGAATGTGTGCTTAGACGTGAGTGGAAAAAAGGCTAGCGCCTGGTTAGGTCTTTCAAAATATCGTTTGGCTGGGTCTCAGTGCAATTTATTGTCTAAAGCAAGACACGGCGCTATAACAGGGAGGCTGAAAACAAGGACGTCGGAGAGAGCGTCTTGCCATCCATGTGTTCGCTTCGCCGCTAGAGTCGATTTTCTTTCCGCGGCCAGTCCGCTGGCGGCCTGGCCGCTGCCCGCCGGGCTCGTGCGTTAGCTGCGGCTGGGTGCGTGCGTTCTGGCGTGCTGTCAGTGTCGTCGTGCGTCCACGTACCGCCGAATACTCGCCTAGCCGTAAGTTTTGTAAGTGGGCTGTAGGACCAATCGTTTACTGTGACTGCGCCTCTGAGTGGCGATCAGGTGAGTGTGACGAGTGAGTTCACCCGCGCTCGGTGAGGTGACGATCGTGTGATGGCAGGCAATATGACGACGTTGCCCATATATAGTCCATATTTGGCGCTCCGGGCATCGTGTGCTCGATTTTGCGTGGACGTGGCGACAGTTTGGTTGATTGCGGCCGGCGCGACGCGTTATTCTGAGTGGGACGACCTGAGGTGCATTTTGACCATGTAAGTGTCTTGTGATCTGTTTGACAATGACAGACGACTCGATGTTATCTCATGTGATGACAAAGTCAACAGCACGTGTTTCATTAGATCGCGTAGTGGTAAATTCCCGCGGGACATATCATGAAAGGGTGATACTTTGAAAGTGCATCAAGCATGCCATCGCTCTAATTGCATCTCCAGCAGTTCGGGCGCCTTCAAACACCCCCTTGCAAAGGCGCACTGTCGGTTTTACTTCCATCGATTTTTTGAAACACGTGTGTAGTCTTGTCTCACTGACATATCAAGAATGAAACATATCAATGTAAATGTATATAGGGCAATACGCTTTACGCGCGTGTTCCCGTAGAAAGATGCTAGAACATGTGATATTGGTAGATAGTTGATGTTAGCAATCGCACTTAAAAAGCATAAATTTTGCCATGCTGTCTGACTGGATCTATCGAAGGCCTCCGCAAGCTTCAACAGTGGTGCGTAGTATCAAGCTGGTGGTCAATGCCTATTTCATAAATTGTTCAGTGCAACTGCCAACATATTCATAGTAAGCTTATATGTATGAAAATAGCTATTTAAGCCTGATTCCGTGTCGGTAGTTTAAGAAAATTACATGTATCAATGCATGATTTTTTCACCACAGGCCTTTGTCGAAACGCTTATGTCACAGCAGATACATCCAGATAGATTTATACATATATGTATAGAGATATACACATGACATGATATGCAGACATGGCAAATGTTTATGCCAGATAGCAGAAGTTTTTAATAGGTCTAAATAGTCGTATTGTGGTACAATGATGTAACTATTGCGCCATATCTTTCTCGACATAGTCCTGTGGTGAGAACATCAACGCACTGGTATATGGAGCTTTCTCAAACTACCAACAAAAATCAGGTCAGCGTAAGTGCTATCATGAACAACACGTTTCACATGGTCCCAAAGTCATGCTTGTATAAAAACCAAACGACCGGCCTATGCAGTTGCAACAGCGAGCTGGAACTTTTATGCGGTGTGCGTTTTTCAAAATATTAGGCTATGCTTCAAATTTGTGCTGGGTTTCTGCAACAGAGACAAGCCCATGTCGGCAAATCGTTTGGAGGAGACTCATCCTGCCGTAATTCTGTTACCGCTACACCCATCCCACACTCGGAGTATGGCAGCGCCTAGCTGCGGTTAAGAGGCAACGATTGCTTTTGCCCATAAAACCACCACACGCTCCGTTTCAAACTCACTGATGTAGAAGGGAAAATATTTAGCGAAGTTGGTTACCATACGCCCCTTTGTTTTGTCAAAGAAGATAGCTACATTGAAATGGAAGTCTTTTAATGTATGCACATATATTATATATATATATATATATATATATATTATATATATATATATATATATATATATGTATATACGTATTATATATATATATATATATATATATACAACTATATACGTATATGTGTTGCAGACTGCTCATTTCATTTTTAGAATGTGTTGTGCTTTTTTATTTCCCTCTATGACAAGGTTGTTGAATGTGAGTTGCCCAGCTCAAATGCGCTATTGCTTTGGTCGCACCGATGTGTTAAATATTTGGGGAAGGAATATGGCGCGCTATTTACTTACAACAATGCTAAACACGACGCGGAGCAGTTGCGCCGCTGTGATCGCATGTGTGTTGTGCTTCACATGCGTTATCGTACATGTAGGAAACTGCTCGGTCGCATTCCACGCATTGTTTTCATCTCGCGCACAATGAAATGAAATCCATATCGGGCCGTCTGTGTAAGAGGTTGTTTTGACCGCAGCACCTAGCTGTCATTCCTATAAAAATGCCGTCGCTTGCTCGGCCCGCTGGGCAGTTTGCACTTGTATAAACTGAGTGGTAGGTGCTGTACCCGTTTGTACCCAATTTGTTGGCTCCAGCGGTGCGCGACATGCACGAACTGAGGCGTTGTTAACATAAGTTGAGGGTGCGCGAAGGATTTTTGATGTGCATTTTGATTGTGAATAGGCGTTTCTGCTTTCAAGTCCGTGCTGTTGCGGTAATGAGGTCGACATTGGTGCAGAACATGGTGAATGCAACAGTGTTTATGCGTGTAATTATGCCCCTCACCTCTCTCTCTCTCCACCCTCTGTCTCCCCTTTCCCTTTTCCTTTCACCCACTCTCCCTCCATGTCAGGCCCTTCCTCTTCTTGCATCAGATGCGCTTGTCATTTGCCGTCTGGAAACGCTGCATGCTATAGAATCACTACTGGCTATGTTTGCATGTATTGTAAGCGATCGTCTTTTCGTGTGCGTGCGATTTGGTGCTCGCATCACGGAAAGACCAATGATGTGATTTTGATTGGGTTCATATCACTGTATCTCATGTTGTGTAGTAAATACAGTGTCTAAATGGGTTCGCTCATTACAGTCTTCTGACAAGGTCAAGCAAAAAATGACCGCAGCAAACTACCAACCAAAGTGACTGAAAGCTGGCGAAGGTATCACTGAATCTTTGGGCACCATTCTATTACGATGGGTGAAAGTCTTTACAAGGAAATATCATAGCCTGCACTTACATGAATACATCATACGCAACACATGTCATAAATACATAATACAATACAGCATGAATCATAAATACATGATGAATGCATCACACGTAAATATGTACATCTTTTTAGCACAAGGACGACAGCGCCTTTTTGGACAACAACGCTTTGCGACGGCAAGTGACTTGGCAAGTAATGGGGAAAGTAAAGTTCAAATTGCTCATTAAAATTTTATTGAGACTTGCATTACATCACACAGGCATGGTGAAAAACAATCAAACAGACTGCAAAACGAATGCGTCTACAAGAATCACCGGCAAAGCCGCTTCTGGGGATAAGCTTCAGACATCAGCACGACAGGTCAACCACATTTCCCGAGAAACCACCTCAGATCTTAACTGCGGCAGCCGTTTGTTTCAATAAGATTTAAATCACGTAAGATGTTATGTACATTTGCGAGGAACATTATGCATAAAGATAAGGTAGTATTAATAGCCGTATTCCTCGTAGAATATTCAGGAGAATGGAGAGATATATGTATTCATATTTCAGGTACATACCCTTATCGAAACTATTGCTGGTTTTCAGTTACGTTAATCTGCACTCCTGATATTCGTTTCGATAAAGGCATGCAGCCGAAATATCAATGCATCTTTCTTCCATTCGTCTGGTTCTTCTACGGGGAATAAGGCTATTAGTACTGTTTTATCTATAAGACTCAAGCTATTTGAACTCCGCTAGAAAATAAACGTGCAGGAAAGGATGGGTGCACCTCCGGCCGGCGACCTATACCCTGTCGCTTACAGCCGCTGTCCTGCTTCCCTGAGTGACGGTGTGACACTTGGCTCACCGCCAGCAGCGTCCCACCAATCCTGATTAAGTGGACGCGACAGCAGGTAACAGGGCTTGGCGTGAGACACGGAATACAACTTATCGCCTGCATGTAATTATGACAAACAGCCTGCTTTCAGGATGATTCGGCTATTTTGCGGCCATAACGTAAGATGAGAGAGTCGTCTGAAAAAGAAGCCAAGCGATTAAAAACTAAATCTCACATTCAGCACAAAGTGTTCTGTGCCCACCTCCAAAAGGTGCTGCCGTCCTGTTCTTCAAACAAAATGCGTGTGTCATGTCTCTCAAGCATCTACTTTCCCATCACCAACATACTTCCCAGCCATCAGAGGTGTATTTTCTCACACTCTCGATAAAGGTCTTCCTGCTTCCGGGCATCTTCCTTCCCCACTCTCAAACCACACCAACTCCAACTCTCAACACACACTCACTACCACTCCCTCCACAAACTCACAGAGTCCGCCTGCACAGATACCGGTCTCGGACTCCCTCCCACCGTTCCTGCAGTCCCCGCCCCCCCCCCCCCCCCACAGGCAGCGGTCGTGCCAGCGGTGCTCGGTTGTAGCCGGCCGTTGAATCAATACAGTCAGGTATCGGACGCGTCAATAAGGCCCCGCCGTAATGTCACGAAATGGCTGGGCGCCGGCCGAAGCCGAGTTCTCGGAGAGGCTTTCACAGTCCTTCTGCGCGGCTTGCCGAGACTCTCACAGTCCATTAGTGCGACTTGCTGAGATTCTTACAGTCCTTCAGCGCGGCTTGCAGGGGCTCTTACTACAGTACGTTGCGGTGCAAAACTCACCAGGCCGATTGCGGAATGCCTGAACGTGCCTTCCCGAATATTCCGGGGTCTTGCGCTGCGGAGAACGCGGCTGACATATTCTGCTACATCTCAGCGTGCTGAGAACCTCGCGAGAACCTCGCGAACCGCCCGTTGCGGAATACTAAAATTCTCACAACGGCTCACCGCAGTCTGTGGGTCATCGTGCGGACGCTCACCACCGCCCGCAAGCTTTACCACTTTGTCTCCGGAGGCTCTCACCACAGGATAGCTGAGAACACATGCTTAAATTGCGTTATCTTCAACGAGCTGACCATATCTCTCCGGGCCTTACAGAGCCAAGCCAACATCTCACGACGCACTGAAAAAGCGGCCCAGGGTATCTGCAGCCTATTATAACTCATAGCGCAATTTGAATCAATCTCAATAATAGCTCATCTCAACTTACCTCCGTATTAGGGACAGGTCACCTCGGGCGTCCCAAACCAGCACGCAGTGACACTCTCTGGTGGTCACCCATCACCCCACTCGTCCCATTACATCGCAGTACACATCACAGTTCATATCACAGTTCGCATTACTGTTCATATCGCTGTTCATATCACTGTTCATATCACTGTTCACATAACACCACGGTTAACACCACAGTTCATATCACAGATCACATCACAGTTCACATCACTGTTCATACCACATCACAGCTCACACTACAGTTCACGTCACAGCTCACATCACAGCCGACATCACATCACATGATATCGCAGTCTGTCGCATTCCATGGCGACAGGTCGACCGAAGAATATCAATTCTTTACAAATCAGCTCTTTTAGCCCCGTGATCAAAGGCCGGAACACCGTACGCCCGACGCCACCATGATCGACCACCGCCATAGGTCGTCATCACTTATCAAGTTTGTCGGTAATCACGGCATTTTATGGCAACTTGGGTTGTCGTGTCGCAGCTAAACGCCTCAGGTCGTCTTCGCTTAGTTTATTTTTTTAGTGGACTTCAGGCGCTTCAACCTAACCAGACCACTTCACACCCTGTAGACCAACAAGTGATTTATTTGCCAGTAAAGTGACTTTCTTATCTGATTTTTAGTTGTACATTTGTATATTGTTGTTATTTTGACACGTTGAATACGTCGCCGTTCCGTTTTCGTAACTTTTGCGCTTCCCACTAGACGTCACCATACTTCCAGCCCGAATTCGCCTCTGGTCTTCGTCCACTTGTCGTATATCTCCTCTTACGTCTGCCTAACACGCATTGTGTTCTTAGAGCCGGAATTACCAACGGTCGACCAGAAAAGTTTGGCCTGCAATCTCACCATGTCGCCAATGGCCTCATCTTATTGGCCTCCGAAATGGGCCAGTTTCGAGAACTTTTGGAGAACTAGCCCACTGGTGGCGGCGGGCTCTCCATCCGGGAGCAGTTAGCAGTAAGTTTAGCACTGCAGATGGCCATGCGCTTGACTTGCAGAACTAACGGGACTTCCAAACGGGAGGATGCCGTTACAGAGGCGTTCAAAAGGGCAGACTTAAATCGTGAACAGTGCGATAATGCGACAGCGCTACTGGGCCCAGTTCAGGAGGATCTCGACCAAGAATAGTGCAACAGTAGTACTACTACAGTAGTACTAATAGTGCAACAGGAACGGCGTCATTTGGTCCGATGCGAACACTGGGTTACTCTGTGATCACATGGGGCCAGGGCGAGGCATCTTTGTCCGTGCAATGCATTGCAGGAGTACACTTGAAGCGTGCAGAGAAAAAAACACATGACATGACACTTGGCTACATGGCATGGGCATGGCTAGATTGTCCTCTGGCTTGCTTGCGATACAACCGAATTCGTAGCCAAAGACCTAACGACGCTTAGCTGATGACGGTAGTCACACCTGCCTGTGCTGTGCCGCATACTGATCCATGCACAGCTGAGTCATGCCAAGTGACTCACATTGGAAAGCCGACCAGTCCCGAATGACTCACACGTGGCTAATACGCGATCGCTTTGTTTCACGGCACTGCGTGGCACGACATCGCCTCTTTACGGATAGCGACCGCCAACCAAGATGATGATATTTTGATGTCTTGAGGCTTCGCAAATGCAGAGGCCTCCCACCCAAGGCAGAAGCCTCCCAATCCCACGCACTGCGAGTCAGACCTCTGCCACACACCCGAACCGCCCATGAACCGTGTTCTTGCAAGCTGTAAAGTTGCACGCACATCGGGCGGTCGCGCATTATCGGGCAGTCGGGCGCCATCGGGAATTCTGGCGTCATCGGACAGTCGGGCACCATCGGAAAGCCGGACACCATTGGGCAGTCCGGCACCATCGGACAGTCGGGCATCATCGGGCGGTCGGGCATCATCGGAAAACCGGGCATCATTGGGCAGGCGGGCATCATCGGACAGTCGGGCATCATCGGACAGTCGGGCATCATCGGGTAGTCGGGTATCATCGGAAAACCGGGTATCACTGAGCAGGCGGGCATCATCGGACATTCGGGCATTATCGGGCAGTCGGGCATCATCGGAAAGCCGGCATCATTGGCCAGACGGGCATCATCGGGCAGTCGGCATCATTGCGCAGTCGGGCATCGTCGGGCGGTGGGGCGGTCTGTAGGGCGCAAATGAGCCGCCCATCCGCGCCCCGCTGCAGGGAACTCCTTCAAAATCCCTTGTCAGGTTAAGATCGCCAGTGCTTCTCAGCGTCTTGAGCTGAGAGGATAGGCTACTGTTGTTGACATTGCGTCACCCATGTTAGTTATGGATTGCTGCACTGTTCCCGACGGCCTTGATGCTGTCTTTAACTGAGGACGGTTATCTACAGGGCAGAGGCGCGGACGTAATGACATTATACTGCACTATTGTGCACTTCAGTTTTAGCACTCACCACAAGCAGTGACATTGTGACATAGCACCTCCTTCCCACCCCCCTCCCCCCCCCCCCCCCCACCCCACCCCACCCCCAGTAAGTCAGTGAGCAAATCTTGGGACTGATTCACTGCAACAGAACACCACTGGACCTAATGGCAATTATCATCCAACGTGGAGAAGAATAGCAGCCCAGCTCCCTCCTCGCATTCCGCTGGCTGCAAACGATGTTAAACAGCGCGCCAGTGAATACGCTCATGTTTGCTTTGTAGCCTGAACCGCAGAGCAGGAACGCAGTGCGGTACAGCCTAACATGAAGGACTCCTGCTGCGGCGTTGGAGTTCCCGGCTTGGTGGCTTCGCCGCCTTAGGCCGTTAAATGGACTATTCCACATTTTTGTGGGGTTTTGAACTGAGATCGTCATCTGCAAGACCTTTTGATGCTTTTCACAGTCCTGCCCTTCTTAAGACATAAACTCGCTCTTGTTTTTGACCTACACGCCCGCGAAGATTGGAAGACTATTTCGGGGAAAGTATTTCAAGGTCACCTTGGCATTCATGACGCCATAATGACGTCATTTAAATACTTAAAAACCCATAAGCCATACGGTGATCAAGGCTAAGCAAACAACAACGGTCGAGTCGTTCATATCTAGCGTTTGTGAGAACGATTTCCAGATATAACGGTCGCCAATTCGCTCTCAATCAAAGTTGTACAAGGTACGATGACGCAATCAAACAATGACGTAATGAGGAGCATATTAACTTGACAGAGTAATTGTGTTATCTAAAACAGTCCTTCTTACTTAAAAGTATGCTGAAAGCTGCAAGTGAGCTAATTTCATTATATCAGGTGCTTACCTCAACATCTTCAAGTGTGAAACATTCCCTTTTATGTTCCCAACGACAGAAATTCGCAGGGGAAATTGGCACCTGTCATTTCCAGGCTCTTATACGACCTTAAAACTTTGCCTCCTGGCTTCGGGCTTGTGAGATAAATGGCAGGATGGGTATAAAACGTACAGTGTGAAAGGCGATCTTCGCCATAGCTGGGGAAAATCGAGCTGCCGCATAACACTGACATGTTCGGTTACATCATTCGATGTTTACGAATACATCCAAAAAGATAATGGCCACAGAATTAAGGTCAGTCAGCTGCACATTTCAGGACGCCTGAAAGGTTCGTGGGTTCGACGACGTGTGTCACGTGGGTGAAATAAACACCGAAGGTGTCTAGGCAGGGACAGGAGGTTCGATGGTAGTGGCAGCCCTTGGTCATGCCAGGTCTGTAAGCAGTGAGCAATATAAGCACTATCACAAATGGCATCAGGTCATTCGCAAGCAGCACTGATGCGTCCGCAGAATAAGCATTGTACAGCTTGCTGGCACGCCCGTCTGAAATACCTATTTTTAGAAAAAGGGGGACGCGCTGATGTGAATTATGTAAAAGCATTTTAATGATGGAACCTTGGGAATCTATTGTTTTGCATTAACAATATTAACATTGTTTTCTGTAAATCACATACACTTATACGAATCCTCAAGCAATCCAAAACTCACGAATATGAGACCATAGTGTGGGCCCCAGATATGTTCGCGTGTGTTTCTGCGTGTGTATGCGTGGCGGGGGAGGTGCGCACGCCTGTACAAGTTTTCTTAAGCGCACAGCATTGTAGATGACCTCTAGATAGCTTTCTGGTGCTGTAGACGCCCTCCGAGGCAGGGCCCATGGCAACGTTCGTGCTTATGACGCAACGTCGATCCAGTCCCCGTGAGACTGGGGTTCGTGCCAGCCTTCAACAAGGAGAAATTGCTCATCATGCTGCACTCCCGATTCCAAAAATCTGAAACCCCGGGAGCAGACCAAGCTTTTGCTTTATTACTGTCAAAAGCACATGGCTTCTATCCATCAACACGAGGATTAAGTGCTTTCGAGACACCGAGGTCACAGGTACCTTTCCAAATCTCCACATGCTCAGTAATATTATTTTCCACCACACCTAGCAACGCAACTGGCCTGGTGGCAGGTGGCCTTGAGACCAAAACATTATGACTTTCCTTTCACACGCTCCGCCACTGCCGCGTCACTTTCGACATCCGGTCGGGGTGCCCCGCGGCGTTTTTCCGGTTCGGCCCGCGCGCTGGCACCGGTCGAGTGACGTCACAGCGGTGCTAATGAATACAGATCACCGGCGCCGGGTCCCCCCGCCGCGGTCCGGGAGGGACCGGCCCTGATTGCCCCAGGCGGCACGGCCGCCGACTGATTGACAGAGCGCCGCACGGACGCGGGCGAACCCGCCCGAAGTAGAGCGACTCTGGGACTATGAGGGTTCAGTGGATGCGGGACGGGTGATGCGAAAATCAACACCGCAAGGCAGGCGTAAGCAAGGCTCCGTGACTATTGGGAGTTGCATGGGTTTGAAGGAAATAAATGGACGATAACAATAGGATTATGCAACTGTTCAGCGTGGTTCGAGGAATCACGAAGGCTATCGATGCTACAGAAATCCGATTCGAATTAGTTGTGTTAGAACACTGCAACATTTAATGACCGATAGTGATGCAGGGACCCCGCAGGAGTCGGAAGAGACTCAGTTTACCTGTCTTTCAGTTCTAATATGGCAGCATAAAATTTTGCAAAAGTCAGGGGTACTATTCCATCGTTCCCTTCCCTCCAACGCCACGCACAGCTGCCTCCACAACCCGCTACGGTTCCCGCCGGGGACCGTAGCGGATTGTGGGAGGTAGCTGGGGCGGTGTGAGGTATGCGGAGGTGCCTACCGTATGCCGTGGTTCAGGGTGTGTAAAGGTGTTTGTTGGTACGTCAGGGTGTCGGTATGTTAGAATGTATGAATGTGTCTGTCGGTATGTCGGGGTGTGTGGCTGGCACTGTCGGTATGCCGGGGGTATGCATATGTCTTTCGGTATGCCTGGATGTGCGCATGTGTCTGTAGATACGTCGGTGTGTATAAATCCGCCTGTCGGTGTGTCGGGTTGTATGGATGGGCCTGTTGCCATGTCAATGTGTATGGATGTTTCTGTCGGTCTGCCTGACCAGTGTGTCGCCGTTTCAGTCCTCCACACCGGCGTCCGGCGCCTGCCCACCACCATGGAGAGCCTGGAGCCCAAACTGCAGCAGGTGAGCAGGACAGGCTCCGTGACCCGGCCCGTGGCCGCTCCGTGAACCCGGCCGGTGCCCGCTCCGTGACCCGGCCCGTGGCCGCTCCGCGACCCGGCCCGTGGCCTCACCGTGGTCCCGGCCCGTGGCCGCTCTGTGACCCGGCCCGCGGCCGCTCCGTGACCCGGCCCGTGGCCGCTCCGTGACCCGGTCCGTGACCGCTCCGTGACCCGGTCCGTGGCCGCTCCGTGACCCGGCCCGTGGCCTCACCGTGGTCCCGGGCACTGGCATGGAAAACGATGTCCTTTGGGTAGTCCTGGGCGCTAGCATGGCAGACGCTGTCCTTGGCGTGGTCTCGGGCGCTAGCATGGCAGACGCTGTCCTTAGCGTGGTCCCGGGCGCCAGCATGGAAAACACTGTCCTTAGCGTGGTCTCGGGCGCTAGCATGGCAGACGCTGTCCTTAGCGTGGTCCCGGGCGCTAGCATGGCAAACGCTGTCCTTAGCGTGGTCCCGGGCGCTAGCATGGAAAAACGCTGTCCTTAGCGTGGTCCCGGGCGCTAGCATGGCAGACGCTGTCCTTAGCGTGGTCCCGGGCGCTAGCATGGCAGACGCTGTTCTTAGCAACAGCATACACTAGCGACCGGCGAGTGCTGCCGCAGTTAGCGTTTTTGCTGTGCTGTGGCTGAGTGACGATGCAAGCTCTAACAGGCCGGTTATTGACTGAATATATATCTATCGATGCATGATGTACTTATCTGACTACTAGCTTGGCTAGATTTGCTAAGAAATGTAACACAATAACACTAGAGGTTAGTAGAGGCCAATGGAAGGCAGCGTCGTGTCTGGAGCATGGGGATGGCGAAGTGTGCAGACTTTTCCTAGAGCCTCGCTGCAGAGATATTCAAGCCCCCAAGTGTCTTGCAAAAATTACGCAATGATAAAGTTGTAAGGTTTTGTAGGCGCAAATGCACAGTGTCTTTAGACATGGAACCACGCTCTTGTTCAGTTCTTGATATCTACACTTCTCAATGGTCCTGGCTCTAGGCAGGCACATCATTACAAGACGGACAAATCGCTACATCGACTTATCGACTAACACACCGTTAAAATGACAGACGCGTCGTTACATCGACTTATCGACTAACACACCGTTATCATGACAAATACGTCGTTACATCGACTTATCGACTAACACACCGTTATAATGACAGACACGTCGTTACATTGACTTATCGACTAACACACCGTTATAATGACAGACACGTCGTTACATCGACTTATCGACTAACACACCGTTATAATGACAGACACGTCGTTACATCGACTCATGGTTGTGCGCAATTTGTTTCAATGCACTGAAAACAAATATGAATTATAAAACTCTGAACGAAGGAGAAGACCCGGGGAAATTTGGTACTCATCGTGCTAGGTTTGTGAGCGACTCCAGCTTATATGACACGGTCTCTGACTGCAGACGCTGACGCTGCCTAAGCTGCCGGTGCCGGAGCTCAAGCATACGCTAATGCGGTACCAAATGACGATGCAGCCGCTGCTCGAGCCCGAGGTTATGAAGGAGCTGGAGGACATTGCGGAGCAGTTCGCGGCGCCTGGCGGTGAAGGCGAAGTTCTCCAGAAGGGTCTGCTGCGAAAACAGGAGCAAGACCACAACTGGGTGAGTGACAGCCGGACAGTGAAGGCGCACGGCTCCAATTTTGTTGTTTTGTCTGGTTCAGCGACATCGACAGGCACACCAGTCTGTCATTTCCTTATGGCATTAGCTGAGGCTGTGCTGCATGCATACCTATGTTTTCTGGAATGCTAGGTGCTGGGGAACTGGCGAGCTATGAGCGCCAGTTGTACTCGTATTCGCAATCATCATGCATCCATGTCGCTATTTTGATGGCAGAGAGCGTAGGATTAAGTTCCAAATACAAGGTAGCGCTTTAAGATTTGCGGGGCAACTGAGTTTATAGGGATTTTGAGCATTGACGACTATTGCTAATGTTTGGATTTATCACATTGGCGGAGTAGTTAGCTTTGGGCATTTTTAAACATGGCAGAGGCCTGGCTTAACATGGTTAGAGTGGATATTAAATTGTCATGTTTTGCAGCAAAATGCAGTCACGGATATTTCGGGTTTTTTTTACCATCGAATCCGAGGGCCCCGCACCATTCATTGTCAGCATGGCGTCCGCGAGTTATGGCATTGCTTATGGTCTGGCAGCCCCTAGGTTATGGTATTGCTCACGGTCTGGCAGCCCCCTAGGTTATGGTATTGCTCACGGTCTGGCAGCCCCCTAGGTTATGGTATTGCTCACGGTCTGGCAACCCCCTAGGTAATGGTATTGCTCACGGTCTGGCAACCCCCTAGGTAATGGTATTGCTCACGGCCTGGCAGCCCCCTCGGTTATGGTATTGCTCACGGCCTGGCAGCCCCCTCGGTTATGGTATTGCTCACGATCTGGTAGCCCCCTAGGTTATGGTATTGCTCACGGTCTGGCAGCCCCCTCGGTTATGGTATTGCTCACAGTCTGGCAGCCCCCTAGGTTATGGTATTGCTCACGGCCTGGCAGCCCCCTCGGTTATGGTATTGCTCACGGCCTGGCAGCCCCCTCGGTTATGGTATTGCTCACGGCCTGGCAGCCCCCTCGGTTATGGTATTGCTCACGACCTGGTGGCACTCGCTTTGGGTCGTCATGTGGGCCTGCAGCATTCTCGCCTGCGGGCTGTGCTCTGAGCACAGAGCACTCAGAGCACAGAGCACAGTGCCCTCAAAAGGTTGCTAAACAAGGTTTTCAGTCATATGGGTGCGTTTGTCGTTTTCCCTTGGATGGCAGCGCGGTATAATTAGCCGGATTATGGTTTGGGTTCCTTTTAGTTTAGACTCTTTTGATAGAGTTTTGATAAGAGTTTTGATAAGATTTGATAATAGTTTTGCCCGGATTTTGATAAGAACCTGTTCATCAGACAAGACAATTTATGTGCGGCGTCAAAACACGCAAGCGCGACAGACAAAAACGCGATGCTTTAACTATTCATTTTGAGAGGACCTTAGCAGTGTGACTTAAGAAATATTGAATGATCTAAGTATGGAACGGCAATGGAGATATAGCACCAATGGGTCCCTTAAGTTTGGCATCACGTGCACACAACAAAAGCAAAGCTATCACATCATGAACTGCCTAGACTTAACTGAAACTCAAGTTTTACTCTAAACTCAAGTTTACGTAAGTTGTTCAGTGCATTAGCGAGGGAAAATCATTCACATGGATAAACAGTAGTAATAGCCTTATTCCTAGGATGGATGGATGGAGATGAAGTTAGGTTGATATTTCAGCAGCATGCCTTTATTTTCTGCTTTTGTTTCGATAAACGCATGCTGCCGAAATATCAGCCCTCCATGATATATATATATATATATATATCCATTCCCTGTTTTTTCTCCGAGGAATAAGACATTACCGCTTTCTGATCTAAACTCAAGTTTTAATTTAAACTTACGCTTTAAATTAAACTTAAGTCTTAGCTTAAATTCAAGTCGAGCACCTCGTCGGACAGGCCTCAGTCAGGCCCTGCCATACGCAATGAAGGAAGGAAAGTCCATTAGCTCCTGGTTTTATGGCATCTTGAGTTGCAAGCTGTTATGTAGAGTTATCGACCTTCAGCGAGCAATGAGGCACCGGTTAAGTGACGTAATTCTAGATTGCTATCATACTGACGGTACTTGATGCTAATGTTTCGAGCTTTGGTATTCCTCAAGAGTGACAGGGGTTCCGACACGTTCAGCGAAATATTGCACTTGAGAAGTATAACCCACACCAAAGAAGATATTCCCGAACTGCGCAGATATTGTCACTAAAAAGTGTAAAAAAGTATATCCTCCAACCTCTCATCACCCCACATACCATTCAATGTTGCAGGCTAGGAATATACTTTTGGCTCCAGCACACTTGAGGATGAGGACAGCCCGAAATATTGAGGGCCGCCAGCATAATCATTATTTATCATTACGTCGTTTATCCCAGTAGCATCCGATATGTTGAAGGTTATTAACTGAACAAGATAACTTTACATTCATATTCCCTTCAACACAGACAGAACCCGCAGTAGCTCAGTCACGTGATCAGACTCACACCGCGCCACTGTCCACTGCGAGCACCAGCCGTGGCCACGCGGCGGTCACGTGACCGCATACGCCACGGGCCCGCATGCGCCACGGACACGCGGCGGCGGCGCCGCCGAATCCGGACACGGGATTTGTCGCCGCTCGCTCCTCATTCCACGCGGCGGCACGTGTGTCGCGTACGCGCGCGTCGGGACGGGCTGCGAACCGCGTAATCCGCATCATTACCCTCCCCTCCCCCTCTCCTCTAGTCGGGTCACGTCGTCGCCCGGCCATGGGGAGACGTCCAGCCAATAGAGTTCAACTGCTTTGTTCATCTCGTTAGTAAACTTTCCGGGCACGAACGGACTAGACAGGCCGCGCCGACGTAATTGATTAAGTACACCGGAACGGGCGGGCAGGGGCGGATGCAGGAGCCGCAAAAGGGAGGAACACAAGCAACCGCGGATTGCGAGATAAGGTTGGCTGGTGGGGGCTGTGAACGTCCAGGCTCGGGGCGTCTGGAGTACGTGAATTACGTTGGGGCACGGTGCCAGTACTCCCGCCCTTTTGCTACGCCCCTGATTGCTTGTCTCTGGGGAATTCCGCCAGACAATGAGTAATCTGGCGACTGCGTAAAGTGGAGGCGCTGTCCACTGCTTTGATGAATGGACTGTCAGCAGCGCCGTCGTTGAACGGAACAAGGATTGATCAAATGCACATGCAAGAAGGTTGATCGCTCGCATCGTCTGGCTGCGTGAAGTCAGTAGGTTTGCACCAATTAGTACCGTCATATCCAACTGGGTTCTCCAAAGTCATTTGGTGGCGTGCAACTCGGGCTTTCTTGATGGTTTTGCTTATGGCCATCATTAACGCATGGTTACGACGCTGTGCTACTTTTGTCTCCCTTCTTTCTTTTAATCATATTATAATTTCACCCAGTTATCGGTAAATTGATTATATCGATACCTTGACCTTGATTCAAGCGTGTTCAATTTTTGATGTGGCGGGTGCTCGTGAGTCTCCTCGCTCCCCGAGCACAAGAAAACGCTCATCCGATTGAATCAAGCAATCGTGCATTTTAATGTTTTGAAGTGTGCGGGACTCACCTTGGTGGTTACGAGCTTGCACAAGCGTGACGACAGCACTGTTAAAGTTGAACGTTTTCTTTTCGAGTTGGACGTTTGCGCAATATCCACTCCGTCCGAGGCCTGTTTCGTAATGGACCTTTGGTCTTGACGGCTTGCATGATTTAGCCGTTGGATCCAACACATTTGCAGCAGATTTGCCTTGTTGATAAGTCCCCGTGTTGATAATTTCTGCATGGATGATTTCAGTCGCGGGACCCTCAGCGGTTATTCTGGGCGGAATCCGGCTGGCTAGGGCGTCCGTCTCTACAATGAGGCATTTTTGGTTCGGTCCCAGCCGTATGAAACCTCCCCAGTCACTCGCTTCCGGCCAGATGTGGAGACCCTGGAGAACGAGGCGAGAAAAGTGGCGCGGGTTAAACGGTTGGTGCTGATGGTGACGCTGTCGCCCGCTGTTTCTCCGCTGTTTCTTCGCTGTTTCCTCTTCAGCTCTCGGCTCCTCTGGAAAGACCACACCGCCTGGGCAGAGTTGCCCTTTTATATCGGGGTCTATGCCAGGGGCGGCGAATTAGGCACAAGATTTCCTGTTGTTAGATGGACCCAACTTTACTAACATTTGACTCTGTCGAATTGCATCCAACGAAGCATTATGCAGACTTCGCATTCCCCCTCACCGCCCGCACCGCCACAGCGTTTGAGAAGTACTGACGCCACTGGTCCATGCGTAACTACCACTTTCACGTACGCACAGCGAAGAAATGTGCTGTACGCCCCGCAGGCGTTCCAGTACTGGCTGCACTCGATGTACCTGCGCGTGCCGCTGGCGCTGCCGGTCAACTCGAACCCGGGCATGGTGTTCCCGCGCCGGCAGTTCTCCACCAACGACGCCATGCTGCTCTACATGGCGCAGCTGATCCACGGCGCCTACCAGTGGCGGGTCAAGCTCAACAGGTCAGTGACCTCGACAGAGCGTGGGCGCTTGTGACGACCGAGGCCTTTGACGGTACCGAGTGTTGAGTGCTGGGATGAGCGAGGTGAAAGTTTTATTAGGCGGGCATTGAGTCTCGGCGCTTTTGTTCGAAGAGTCGCAAACGACCTGTGAGATGATAGCGCCGTGACTTGTGACCACTGAAGTTAGTGAAAGTTTCCTGTGACGGGAGTAGAACACCAGACCTTGCTGCCTGAAGGCCGTCGACCGCTTGACTCCAACGATGTACAAGTTTCATTCACGGTGCGCACTAGTGGCCAATCAAGCTTAACGAGCGTTGCAACTGTTGCCAAATGCAGCATTGCAACGGCAGAGTTTCATGTCATCGCAATCAAATTGCCCGCCGGTCCGCATGTCCCGATAGCTCATTTGGTACGAGCGTCTGCCTTCCGATCCATTCGCCCTTGGCGGAGTGGGTTCGCGTCGCGTTGGGCGCTCGTTATTTACCTTGACAGGTATGGCGTGCGGCCGGTGCCAGGGCCGCGTTTAAGGTCAGTTGATATCAGTGGGCGGGACGGACTGGGCCGAGCACTGGGCACGTTGAACTTTTGCCGCCGAATGGTGCCGCTGACCTGAAATAACACGATTGAATGGTAGGGGTCAGGGCTCACACAACAAGCACGGCTTAGCGTGAGCTCTGACCCTAGAAATCCATCCATTAAAAATCTTGGATTAAACTTTTTAATGTAGATCTTAAAAATCGCTTTAAAAAACTGGCGTGGCGAAGTGGCTAGGTGCGAGACGACGGCAGAGTTAAGATGATTGCTTTAAGTTTTTTCCAAGGAGCCAAGTTACGGCAGGCCGACATATTACGGATATGCTGCGTAAGGAGAGACCGAGCTCTCATGCTCCTGTTTCATTTTGCGGTCGGTATGTGCATCAGTTCACGTGTATTCATGAGCACAAAATACGCATAGCTGATGACGAAGGTGACCAACGCAATCGTCTGCATGGTCCTTCGCTGCAGCATGCGAGACATGTTTCTCAGCAAAGTGGCAAAGCTTTCCCATGAAAAATATCCTAGCTGGAACTCATGTCATGGAAGCAAAGTCTGGCACCTAAATTGCCCAAATAACGCGTTTGACCTTTTCCCTGCTCGAACTCCCGGGATTTCAAAGAATGAATGGTGCGTTTCCAAGCCCCCGGTCCTTGAGTGCAAAGTAGGCATTCAATCGTCACAATATGTGGCCAAAGTTCAAAAGGTTATCTGAAAGGTCAGGAACCATCGCGACCCTAGTGGCAGGGAAAGTTTTGGGCCATTTACTGATAACGCGAGAGCTTTGCGAAAACTTTTGACACGTGGTCACACTGACTGAAGGTTTATGGGAAGAACGGAGGGAGACGTCTACAGCGTCATCCCACGCCTATTTGTCTGCAGCCAGCAACAACGAAAGCGCATTGTCTATGCTACATTAAAAACCTACAATTAAACTACGTTGCATGAAACTAAATTGCATATGGGTGAAACTTTGCATCATTATGTGGGTCACGCCAGTCACATGACTTGTGCCGGCGCCCATCTGTATGGGAAATTGGAGCGGGCAAAATAATCCTTAAAAGTCCTGAAAAGAAGCCGCGTATTTCTCGAAATACTGTGCTTTACTTTCCCTCCCCACCTCGAAACAAAGGCTGCAAAGCCATTGTCTCTGTTTTTATATCTTTTGATGGAGACAAGGGTAAGTGATCAAGAGGTCAAGCTTAAGTGCCCGGCCAAACACAGGCTTCATTTCGCCAGCTATTGGCCATGACTCTTGGCATGTCGTCACCTAGCAGAGATTTCAATATTATTTCACTTCAATAAGCCGTGACCGCTTATTTGTCTGTTCGTGCTTGAACGCTGACAAGGTTTCGACCCGGGCGGCAGTCACGTGCTCTAGAAGATTATGTACTTTCAGTCACTCAATGCAGTATAATGCAGTATAAGGCATTGACCAATCCCGACATTGGCCAGCACAGAGACGTGCCAGCAATGCGACAGCGAGCATCTCAACCGAGATTGGTTTGCCATAAAAATGCACACCCCCTGATTTCAGTTGTTATAAACAACATCCACCTAGTCGCGATACTTTTGTCAGTCAGAATAAACGTAGAGAGCTACGATTTAAAGTTTGTCAGGTTTTGATTGTCAGTGCCGGCCATGTGAACAACATCATCTGCATGCAAAGCGGCTGCACAATGCGGTCTCTCGCAGCCGGGATATCAAAAGGAAACAATACTTGATATAAACGATAAAGGCCTTCAACTCCTGGATATTTCGGTACTTTGAGCTCACAGTTCTTGTGCTGAGTTATTGATCTCCAATACACAGGGGATGCTGGTTAAATGGCGGTATAAGGCAAATATTAGTTATGTGGACAATGCTCGACGTTCCAGACCGGGTCTATTGCCTTCAGTCTCATAGATACAGAATGGAACGCCGAAAAGTCAATATAACCAACGTTTACTCTCTACCGGCGCTCCATCAGTACTAAAGTTGTTCAGGGCATTTGCGAGGAACATTATTTACATAGATAAGACAGCGCTTATACCCCTATTCCTCGGAGAAAAGAAAAAAGGAGAAAGGAAATATAGATGGGTTGATATGGCGGCAACATGCCTTTATCGAGACAATAGTAAAAGTGAATCATGAATTATAGCATCAATTCATTTCTGCTATTGTTTCGATAAAGGCGTGTTGCCGAAATATTAACCCACCTATATCTCCCTTCTCCTGGTTTTTCTCCGGAGAACAGGGCTATCACTTCTGTCTTATCCATTAGTACCTCATGAAAATCTTAACTTTCGTGAATGTTTCGGCCTTGCATTTTGCTGAAAATTTGTGAGCTACTTCTTATCAATTCCGCAAAACAGCTGTTTCCACCCGACATTATATTTCATAATTAGCTAGCGGAGCCTTAAGACAACGGTTTCGGAACGAACTTTGTTATGCAACCCTCAGACCCATTGCTATTGGTTTTCAAAAGTTCTGGGTCGATTAGATTAGGTTCTGCTACCAGGCTTCACACGATTATGCCTGAAAATGCAAGACGGCTGCCACCACCTGGTTCATTTCGCGGCGCAAGGGTGTCTTACTGGCTGCTGCACTTAGTTGCATGATATTTCCATAACTAATCTCGCCTCTAGCATGAAGTCATTCATCGCTGCTGCGAACTCTCCACACGCATAAGTCCCAAAGAGCACGCGCGGCAGCAGAAGTTCGGGCGACAGCAGAAGGCGCCAGCTGACGGCGTCGGCACGATTGATCTCGGCAGCCTCCATTTTCCTGGCGGGGGTGGAGCCGGGCGGCGGGTGGCGATGTATGGCTGCCAGATATGATAGCGGCGGTGCTGCCAAATGCTGCCATGTCTTAGGCTTTTGTTCCGTTTGTGAGCGGTGGTAGTTAGTGGGCCGCTTGCTGAGTCTTGGGTTGAGGGGAAAACAGAGGCGATATTTCCCCAAATCATTTTGGAAATAGCGGCATCGCTTGGTTCAAGAGCTAATTGTGCCCGAATAAGGCTAATGTCCCCACGAATAGGTAATGATTTAGGATGTCTTTATATATATATATATATATATATATATATATATATATATATATACATACATGTGTGTGTGTGTGTGTGTGTGTGTGTGTGTGTGTGTGTGTGTGTGTGTGTGTGTGTGTGTGTGTGTGTGTGTGTGTGTGTGTGTGTGTGTGTGTGTGTGTGTGTGTGTGTGTGTGTGAGCGTGTGTGTGAGTATGATGATTAAGGATATTCAATATACCATATTCCCAAATCCCAACAGAGTGCGTTTTGGTGACTTCGTCGTACGGATAACGTAAACATTACGACTTCTACAAGTTGTAAATGTTATTTCATGACTTTTTCGGTACATCGCATAAACTCAGGTCCTACGACACATTTAAGATATTTTGCTGCGCGTAGATTTCTGTATTTTCGGTAATCCACAGTTTTGATAGTTCTTGAAAGATGCTGCCAGAATAGTTGTCATATTATGGTGTATGAGAAATCTAAAAATCATTTGAAACTGAAAATAACTGAAAACAACGACCTTGCTATCTAGCGCTTTGTGCTTATCACGTCATTATTTAGCATCGAATACGTGGGCTTTCGCTAAAACTTAGTATCAAGAACGTAAAATACGGCGATGGTGAAGCTACGGGCTTCAAGGTTTGCTAGGGCTTTGGGTTATTTCGCACATGTGAAATACGTACAAAAGGCTTTTGTGCTCCTCGCTCCATGCCATGTAAGGCATGCAAATTACAGTCATTATATGTTTGCTGGTGATATTTCGAATCGGGATCCAGTGGATCTGCCTATGCTAGCCCGGTCAGCAGAATGTCACTGGTCACATAGCTCACTGGTCACATCTGGACACCTAGGTCACTTGCTTCGGAGGATGCACTTCAAAAAAGAAAAGCCTGTCACCGGTCTCGTCACCGAGACTCGACCGCACTTTTGTGCCGATTTTCCCGGCAGTTGAGTTCGCTCGTTCCGACTCAAGTTTTGTGGGAGCTATGTTCTTGAGCCAGCTGTAGGTCGGCGCTATCACGCATGCATTTCCTGAGACAGGCCAGTTCTCTTTGCCTTGTTCTTGCCTTTGCCAGAGCTCTTGCGTTATGGCCCCGGGCATGAAATAAGAATTAGAAAATTTGATCTCGGACGCGCACGAATTGTGGCCTGGCTTTAAGACCTCATGAGCTTTTCCGGAACTCTCCGGTGTCTCCCTGCATCGCGATGGTCCAGCAACACCCCTACTGTCATGCTTATTCCTGAGGAGGACATCAAGTCCTTTTGCGCAACCGCCGGATCTCTGCAGCATTTTCTCAAAGATCACCATTTTTCTGTACTGCTATCCTGACTTCCAAGAAAATGTTCCTACACTGTGCTTCCCCTAAATTCAACAACTGTTTATCAGCGCTGGGTTCTCAAAAAAGCATACCACTCACTAACGATGTCCTAGGGCGCCCTGCCCGCCTAATG